ATATAGGGTATATGTGTCTGTGATTTTGCCATTATACCAACAGTCTTTTAGATACGGTTTATGAATACGCCCGTTACGATGTTTACATTTGTTGAGGTACAGACCTTATGGTCTGTGGTTGAGGATACAAGACCTAATATTCGTCATATACTCGTCATTCAAAGGTCCAATAAAGGCTGGGCCTATTTCAAAAAGACGCACGCATGCACCAACGGCATAACGTAGCAGGGCAACCACTAGTTTACCTAGTAAATCTGTCACATTTTGTAATTGCAGAATCCATTGGATTTCGTTCTAAGAATGCTTATTATGAAATTCAGAGTTTTAGTTAGAAAAAAAAATAAAACATGTACAAATTGAGCATAAAATTAAATGGATGAATTTTTAAGTTCGGTATTGTATCAAGAAAGTAACTATAGTTTATTAAAGATTATAGCTTTGTCCCAGGTAAATCCCCAAAACAGCCTAAAATAAAAAAGAGTGCTTACGCCTACTTTGTACAACAGACTTTAAAATACCATTTATAGTCTCCCCTATACCCTAATTTTTTTCTACAATACATTTAAGATTTTTTCAAAAAAAAATCTGTAAATAATTAATAATAATATTTTTCCGGCTGTAACTTTTAAAACTCGTGTGATTCTGTATAAGCTTTTGAAATTGTTTTTTCGAAGTCTCAGGTGGCAGGATATTTTTAAGTACCTTAGTTCTCTTATTAAATTAAGCCTTTTCCATCTGTGTATACAATCCTAAACAAATAGCTAGTATCGTCAGTTTAAAACCCACTTCGAAGTCTACGGACATAGATGACAGAATTTCACAAATAATACGGGTGGTGGTTACATCCTTTGAACCATTCAAGACCAGTGTTTACAAACAACTAATGGTTTATTTATGTCTTAGTTCACAAAAAGCAATATACAAAGGAGGAGCACATAGCGGAATAGATACACTGTAGCTTGAAGCTGATATCCAGCCCAGGTTCAGGTATCGGACGCTAGACGTGCGCAACGCGCGATTGGTTTTGATCGGCAGCCACTCAAGAAACATGCGGTACACTACGTCAGTTATTTTCCATTAATACGTCCCTCGTAAGTAAGGAAGAATGGCTGGTTTTATTGGGTTTAAGTTCATTATATAATAATAATAATAATAATAATAATAATAATAATAATAATAATAATAATAATAATAATAATAATAATCACAATAATAATAATAATAATAATAATAATAATAATAACAATCAATAACAATAATAGTAATAATCAATAAACAGTGATAGCCTATATAATAATGTTGATGATGATAACAATGACAATGGTGTGGTGAAGATGATGGTCATGATGATGACGACGACGATATTGATGACGATGATGTTGATGGCATACGTTTTTTTTTCTCACGACCAAAACAACTCCACTCTCTAAGACAACAATAATAATAATTGTAATAATAACAACAACAATAATAAGAACAATGATAGGCCTAATAATAATAATGTTGATGATGACGATGGTAATGGGGAAAATAATCACAACGATGATGATCATGATCTTGATCTTGATCATGACGACGATAATAATGACGATGAATATGATGATGTCAAGATAGCTTTTTTTTCTCACTACCAAAAACAATAGTGATAATCTTGTTTTTATGTTTGTCTTGTGAAAGCTTGCAAAATACAGTAGTTAAAGTTCACTTTTGGTATATTCAACAATTTTATGACAGGCCTACTCGATACTGCTGAACATTTGACGTGTCGTGCATGCATACCAAAAGCATGTTTTACAGACGTGACCTCAGAGAGGTTGCTATGATGCATAGACTAATCAAGAATAATGTAGTATTAAGGTATATATCTATTTTTTGTATTTCTTGGCTACTTCCGTTCCACATTTTTTTTATTCACGAAAATTGATGATGATGCCAAACATAGTAGAAAATGTGGTAAGTTCAGATTCATATACTACGCATGGTCATATCTTTTCTGTCGTATTTGTATTACTGAACATCTAGATTAATCTAAATGGGTTCACAATTACGGAGCGTTTAATTCTTTAGAGACGATAAGCTGATTATAATCAAATACCTTAAAAACTCTTACTCAGCAAATCACAGTCTTAACAACTGTTACCATGCTGTAAACAATAGAAGTTATCAATTGGAGACAACACGCGTTCATTATTAGTACACTTCTATGATAAATTGAGTGGATTATTAATATGATTTATTTTGGAAGAACCGTGGTGGCCTATTCCAGCGTGGTTGTTGCAACAGGCTCGCAGTTGTGGCGCGGCTTGCAATGTATCATTAATTGCTACGTCTACTACACGCCAGTAGGCCTAGTAATTTCCATGAAAAAAGTTCACGTAAGGAGTAAGAAAGAGATTATTTAAAAACAGAATTGAATTTAAGCCCTCGGATTAGGACTTATCGAACAGTAGAATCAGCTGATATCTCTTTCGTTTCTTCTTTCGGATCCTATTCATATTGTTGTTCGGATTAAATATATACGTTCATGGTCACAAAATCGAAACACAATTTTGCATTAAATATGAATTCAATGCATTGATCTATGAAGCAGATTTGTGTATACAAATAATGTCTATTAGTATTGCACGACAATAACAACTTGCAGGATACGCTAACGTTTATCTAAAATGAGCAGCGCCCCCTATCGGTATGTGTAGAAAAAAGCTAAGAACAAAAATTATAGCCACGGATGTAGCTGTTCGAATTATAGTATGGCATCATATTGTATTTATTTTAAAGAAATTGGCAAATCATCAATGATAACATTTTATCATTTACGTAAAGTTTATATTTAATAGTAGGCTTAAAGCATGAAAAAATTATTAGGACTTATCGCACTGCTGATTACTATAATTAAGCAACGGTATTTTTTCAACACACAATAAATGATATAAACGCAACAAATTCATATTGTTAGATTTAACTAACAGATTTGACTAATGTTTGGTAATTCTACGAAACTACAATAAAC